TATCTTAGATCCAATTATGATTGACCGTTCCACTCAAAAGTCTGCTTACCACTAGAAGAGGAATGTTTTGTATTACAGCCCTTTCCTTATACCTATTTATGATAAATTTAGGGACATGCAATTTCTCTTGGCAACAAGTTTAATTACTGGGCCTTAAGAGACAAATACTTCATAGTGAAAAAACACTTATTGTTTTAGTAATCATAAAAAGGGGTCATGAAAAATTGTGTAGTAGGACATTTTGGTAATTTATAATTTTTTTCCGAGTTATATAGTAAACATCTCTATGCATAAATCTCTGTCCACGTGTAGATTATTTTCCTAGGATGGGTTCCTAGGTCTGAGTCAAAAGTTATGAATATTTTAATGCTTTTGTACACATTGCCAGATGGCTTTTAGAAAGACTGTATCAATTTTATATTCTCATAATGTATCCTGATGCCTGTCTCACCACATTCTCACTTTTTACTTTTAAGAATCTTGGCAGTGGCGACTCATTTTATTTGGCACTTTTAATTGTGAGATTCGATTGTTTCATATATTTATTAGCTGTTTTTATTTCCCTTGTGGATTATAGTGAAGTCTTTTGTCTATTTTTATATGAGCTTTTAAAATATTTAGGAGCCAACTTGGCTCTTTTCCAGAGAATCATCAATCACTCTTAAATAAATAAATCTCTGTTGCTACTCATTCTTGGGCAAACTCAAGTTGCCCACATGAAAAAGAGAAATAGCTCAATTGCTATTCATTGTCTACAGCTCAGTCCTTGTGAAGATGTGGAAGCAGCTTTCTCTGTTCCACCTCTAGTGTGTCCTCTGAAGCATGACAAAGTTCCCCAGCTTGGTGGATTTCAGACTTTTTGTCCCTCGGTTTCAGCTGCTTTGAAGAACGGCCTGATCTCCAAGATGATCCCCAAATCTCCCTGGTGAATTTCATAAATACAGTGAAGCCCAGGTTTCAAGTTAGCATCACAGATTTATCATTAAAATTTAATAGAAAATAGTCCTAGTTTCAGATGATCACCTTTATCATCACAGTTGTGGCTCTAACAGTGGAAATTACATTTGTCATAATTGTGGCTTTCGTGTGTGTGTGTTTGTGGAGAGACTTTTTTTTTTTTCTATAGTCACAGCTACTGAATTCTTCAATTATCTTTCATCACATTTACCATTAGAAAGTTTTCCTCCAAGCACTTAGTAATCTTTATGGAAACCCTATACACCCTTTGTGCCTTACTAATGGATGTTCCGGAACCATTGTTCCAGTTATGAAGAAACTCCTACCTAAACCTAGTGAGAAGAGAAACCTTTTGAAGACTTTCCTCGACTCTGGGGCTTAGGGGGGAATGAAATTCGTGCCTGCCTGGCAGTGGAGTTCGTATTTTCACAGCTTCATGTAATTTGTGAGTCTGCCTGGTATCTTGCTGGAAAATAATCTATCCTATTTCTGATTCTAATAGCAGTAATCTACAGCTGGACGTTAGGAGTATTTCCGTAAGTGGCTGATCACCTTTCTCTGTAGAAGAGTTGATCGGTTATCCTGTTGGACCATTTCCACATGTGTGCAAATCAATATAATTATCTTGGTTAGAGTGTGGTCTCGATGGTATCTTTCTAACTTTGTTCATTTTGATGATGATCTTACCTTGCTCGTGATAGTTTATACAACTTTCTGGTGAAAGAGGATCATAGCATCTTCATTCCGTAAATGTAAAAACAGAGTCACAAGTATGATGTGTTATGAAACATCTCAGTTACAAGACCACACTTACCGACAGGTTCCCTTTCCTTCGGCCTTTCTCTGCTAAACCCCTCTGCTTTCCTGAACAACTGTAATGTCTGAGCCACTCTTCTTGCATCTGTATGGCAGTGCTGAAGAGACTGAGCAGTGACTTGTCAAGGCCACTGTATTCTTAAAGCACTCAGAACAAAGATATGCAAATATGTCATCAGAGTTGGACATAGCTAAAGGCTGATAATGTTGTCATAAAACTCAAACCTCTTTCTGCTGATCTTGGGCAGTACATTTTCCAGGTGGTTGCTCGTGAACTAAAAAGAAAGTTAAATCCATGACTTGAATTTCTCTTTGGGTGACTGGCATCATACTTGCCTTTAAATGCTTCCTGTACAGGGTGAATGTGCTTGAGAATGTGAAATAATCTGAAACTCTAGAAGGCATTCTCCAAATCTAATCTAGCCACAGGTGTAAAGAAATGGAAAAACATAAATTAGCACACTTGTATGTCCAATATAACTTATTTTCAAATATATAGATCAAAATGGGGATATCTATTTTCTGTTAGCTGTAATCTTACCGATTTCTTATGTTTGAAAATCTTAGCAGAGTTTAGAAGAAAATATGTACAAGACTTTTTGTACCTCAGGTTATATTTTATTTTTTTTTATTACTTTGGGCTTTAAGTCAAAATAGCCTACTATGGACCACAAAATATTTTCAGTTAATTTAGGTCTATCAGTGGTCAAATCTTGGCTAACCATCTTAATTCTTCAGTATTTGCAATATATCCTACATGAGAAATGGGGCTGACCAGAAACAAAACCAAGCAATGAACCAATAGCCCAGAGATGTCATTCAAGAGAGACTTCTGAGGAAAATTTTTAGGGTTGTAATTCATTCTCCCAAGCATCTTTAGTTGAAACCAGTACCATATAGCTTATTGCCAATGGAATAATTGTACAACTTAAGTTTCCAGAAGCATTGCTGAAATTTTGGCCACACTAGGAACTATTTTATGAAAATATTGAGTAACTTTCCTATCACACAATATTATATCAGCCAGCAAATCCAAAGACCATTTGATATTGACAATTACATCAGAATGATATATTAGATAAGGGGCATGAAATTGTCCCTCTCTTAAAATAAGAATTTCCGGTCACTTAGCATAGATTTTCTGTTAGTGAAAGTACTGCACATTTTTCATTTGAAAAATTGAAATGGTGAATGGGAAAAGATTTCTTGAACAAATACTCAGTATATTTTTATCTTAACACATTTAAACATCTAGTAATACTATTTTTCCATTTACTCAATTTCAGTTTGCTTTTAAAAGAAACTCCAAGCTTTAAATAAATTAAACATGAGCTCATTTTTACAATGTAGTTAGCAATGATTTTAACTGAGGTTTTTTTGTTGTTTAGAGAAAATCTAGAACTAAGGAAATCTTCAAAAACTTTATAATTGAAGCTTCTTTTTAAATATGCAATTTTACGTTAAGTGTTTCATCTGTCTGCCCTCATTAGGTGTGTCTCATCATTCGATCTAATGTTACTAAAATAGTTGTAACTTTACAGCTTCTTTGATTAATGATGGTTTGGACTAAGGTTTCATTGGGTAGGATTAACTATGTTTAAAGATGGCAAGATGCCATTGAAACATTAATGCCAGAATTTAATAAGAACCAGAAATTAACTTCAGGGACCTTCAAAATTTAATGTGAGGGCACAATCCTATTCTGATTATTTTAATGTCATGTCCTATTAAAAATAAGTTATTCTTTATCTGTGATAAAGTTTTACTCAGCAAACACTTGTTGATTGTCAACTATGTGCCAACCAAGTGACTCTTTTCCATCTTCAAACAAAATGAGAAATCCCTCCCTTGTTTAGAAATCTCCCAGGCTCCTGTAATCTACTATGATTCTGCTTTCCTAAGGCAGGGATCTAGCTGCCTAATTTCACATCTCCTACATGAGCTGCCACCTCCATCATCTCGACAGAAAAGCTGGCTAGCTACATCCCTGTAATAAAGGGTCTTGGAAGGTTGGAAAGCATGCACTGGAACTGAATGTCCAGTTTGTGGTACTGATTACTACAGTGTTGAAGAGCCACACTTCACAGGAAAGTTTTGTAGGACTACACAAGTAGAACGGAAGTAGGCTGGGTAGGAGAGGAGAGTTGAGTCTGGTGAGGGAAGAATCTTTCTGTTCTGAAGGTGTATGGTGATGACTTAATTTCTGCAAACCTCAGTGACCTTTAAGCTCTTTCCTGCTCTAAAAATCCCATGATTCCTCTGTTTAGAACCCAGAGAGGGCAATGGACCTAAAGCAAATGCCTGTTGTTCTTTTCTCTCATGATCTTATGTATATATCCTTGCAAAGAAATGTTGAGACGTTGTAAAAACTATGAACCATAACCACAAGACACAAAAAGTGAAATACAGCAGAGGCAAAGGGAAAACTATATTCAAAAATTCCTGATGGAGAAAAACCTCAACTATTTAGCTAGTGGTCTGGGCTTCCTGGTGGCGAAGGCAAAGAGGAGAAATAGGATTACGTGGCGGTGTGATCTTCTGGTAGGAAGACACCTCTCCCCAGTTCTTCAGGAACAAATCAGCATTTTCCTTGTTCACAATAGTAAGAATAACTGGTCTAGGGGATTTGTGTAAGAAGCCCTAAGCCACATAATGAATGATGTTCTTATGAATTTTGATTGAAAATGAAGTATTCCACCTATGTCATTTCATACACTGGCCTTTGGAGAACAGGGAGAGAGTAATGTTAAAAGCAAGATATTTCTTTTGCCTGGGGGGGAGGGGGGGCAGGGAGAAGGGAGTTTGAAACTTCTGGTATATTTACTGTAGATAGATGCTTATTTTCTTTCACCCCACCGACATGTGGAGCAGTAGAGAGATGTAAAGATGTCTAGTAAAGGGTAGCATTGTTAAAAGTCGGAGGGAATAAATGGAATTTTTGTGGCAGGATGATATTTGCAAGACTGATCAGGCCGCTGGGAGGTTTTTAAATATGCCAGTTCCCTATAACAGGAAGATCAGTCTCTGTTTTAGACAGCATATCCAATTTAGTAAATTATTATTCTGTCAAAATTAATGTGAACAATTTTCTCTTTGAGGCTGCTTTTTCCATAGGTGATGTTTTCCAGATGGGCTTTGTGTAAAACTCTTAATGTTTTGTGTTTTCCTTCCTAGAGAAGGAGCCGTTTCTGACATGTCTTCATTTCTTTCTCTTTCCCCCGGTGTAGGAAAGAGAGCCCCAAAAGCAAAGGAGAAGAAGAACAAGAAAAAGAAGAGGAAGCTGATAGAAAGAGCCCAGGAGCAACACAGTGTCTTCCTAGCTACAGACAGGGCCAACCAGTAAAATAAAAGACACGTAGGGTAGATTTTGGGGAGGGGGTTTGCTTTTGCAAAAGTGCACAAAGCTCCTCTCCACTCCTGGACCCTGGCATGTGGCCTTTGTGCTGCTCTGACCAGTATCTGTTCCCAGTAACGTTGTGAATGGAGGAGCCACGAGCGTGGTCTCTGTTATTTATGCTTTGATTTGCATCTGGAGCCTATGAAGGCAGGAGCCCACAACCTGAATCCATGGAAGCAGGAGTTAGGGGTCCAGCATGGGCCTTGGCTCCACGAGGGGCAGGAGCTGTGAGGCCACGGGCCACCCCTGGACCCAGACTTGTGCATATTTATGGGAAAGAAGACACTCAGCAGGCCAAGTGCTATTTCACTGGTGACCTTGATTTCTCACATTGTGCGTTCGTTCACAAGGATAAATGTCTGCTGAGATCTGCTTTGAGCTGGGGGTGGGGGGTGCTCCAGGAATTCCTGCTCGGCTTCACAGCAGCTCCAACTTGTACATACTCTGTGGGGCTGCATATAAACCTCTTACAATGTATATTTATGCTTTCTGATGTGTAACAAGTCATGCCTAATACTATGTCACTTTGTTTCTAGTGGTTCCTAACCATTGTCCAGCACATGGCTGTTCTAGATTTGCGAATTGACCAATGTTGTGTTGCCCCTTGACGTTTAACTTTTCTTTTTTTTTCGGGCTTATTTCTCATTGTAAGAATAGGCTAAGCTAGTTTGTACATAGGCTCAGATGACCAGTGTCAAGGACTTTGAGTATCTGTAGACCTTCCCCACTCCATGTCTCCTCATGCAGATAAAGCAGCAGGTCACAGGCAGAAGCTAAAACTCCCTTTGTGTCTAAGATGTGATGACTTCATGCAACACAACTGAAAACATGAGGCATGACATGAAGTCCCTTGCAGTACTCATCATGCTGTTTTACCAGCTAGCTAGAGAATTTTTCACTTTTGTTTCAAACTTCAATATATATACACACATACACATATATATTTATTTAAAGCCATCCCTGACTTACCACGACAGGGTACCTGCCACTCCTCTTGGGGTCACTGTAGAAATTACCATCATGAGACCATGCATAGAATTCGAGGAGAAAACAGGATGCATCCCTGTAACTGCTGGTCAAATCCTAACAGGTCTCCTTGGGGCCAGAATCTGTGTCCTCTTCCAGACAGAAGAGCCCTGTGGAGACTCCCCAGGGGACTTGCAGACCAGTTGTTTCAAAAACATCCTTGTGTAGTTGGGGGAATCCCTTCTTAGAGGGCTTTGAATTGGCTTCTTCTAAAAGCATCATTATCTTCCTGGCTAATCCAGAAGAAAATTAGAACAAAGTGAAATGGTTACAAATCTTTAAGGAAAACAAGCAAGGCAAAGCCTTTTTTCTCACCGTGCATTGGCAAAACTACCTCTCCGGCGTTTTTAATTTTTGAGTCAAAAGCATCTTACCAGTGAGTATAAATGTCATATGCATTGTTAGAATATTACTGCTATGAGATAATAAGCCATATATGAATGTTGTATACAACTTTAGGGTTCGCATTTAATCCTAAAGTGTTCACCTTTCACGTCTATTTACACTAGATTCCTATTTACTAAGTGGGGAGGGGGCTCCTTTATATAGCGCTTCATCGTTAATAAGTCAATACCTGTTCTGTTTCTGAGATGTTCTTTTCATGCATTAAAAAACTTCGAAATTATTCATTGTGGAAGTTTTCTTTAGAGGTACATTTCTTTGACAACTCTACCCCTAAATAATCCTTTAAAAAACGCAGGCAAAATTTTTAACAACCAATGTTAGTAACTATACCTAGGAACTAGCCAGATATAAATTACACTAGAGTGGAGTGGTTAGGAGCTTTTTTTTTTTTTAAGATTATTTGGAGACAGGGCATGTGCAAGCCAGGGGAGGGGCAGAGGCAGAGAGAGAATCTCAAGCAGACTCCATGTTGAGCATGGAGCCTAATGCAGGGCTCGATCCCACAACCCTGAGATCATGACCTGAGCCAAAATCAAGAGTCACACATGTGACTGAGCCATCCAGGGGACACAGGAGTTGAGATTTTAGAGCCACACTGCCTGAGTTCCAGAGCAGCCTGGGACAAATTCTCTCTCTAGGGCTCTGTTCCTCATCTGTGAAATGGAGGTAACAGTATTGTCTACTTATAGGGCTGTGTTTTAAGGATTAAATTAGGTAAAATGTGTAAAGTATGGTCAGCACAGGGTATATACTAAATTGCTACCCAAATTACCTATTAATTGCCTCTGTTCTTGATATTTAAATTATTTAAAAGACCTTCCATTCTTGTTAACAAAACAATATATTGAAACATCAGTTCCCTTCAATCTATTGCTTGATGCCTGGACATTATTTGCCCAAATTTTTATTCTTGTGGGAATTGATTTACAGCTGCTTGATTTCTAAGCCTCCCAGTTATAAGCAAATACACTACAGAGACACACACATACTACAGTGTAATTTATAGCTTCAGGGTAATACAAAGAAGATCCGGTGGTTTTCCAAAAGTAGCTATACCATATACAAACACATATATATGAAACTGGTTTTTCCCCCAATATTTTCAGGGAGTTTAGCATCTGTCAAAGTAAATTATGGGATCACAACTTTGTCAATTAAGAGGTTTGGGTCGGGGAAATTGGTGCAGCTAGTCAAAACGTACAAACTTCGTTACACAACAAATAGATCATGGGGAAGGTAAGGTACAGAATAGGGACTATAGTTAATATTGTATTCCCTTAGCAATTTTCAAATATGTAATATAAAATGTCCTAATCACAAAAGTTTGACAGATTAGCACTTAGGAAAAACCAATTTTATGAATGTCTTTTTTAAGATGCTAATAGCAATCACTGTATACATGAAACATTTGGAGAAAAGCTAGCACTTAGCCTCAAGTGTGTGATTCCTCTAGATTTATCTTTTTAAAGGAGAGCTATGAGTAGGAGAGAGAAAAGTGAATAATACCTCTGTTCACGTTAGAAGTTTGTGCATAGTAGATACTACTTGATAATATTTAGAAAAGATAGAATTAGTAACCCTATAAATGTATCTATATCTTGACCAATCACATCATCCTCCCCCTTCTTTCCAAAGGAACAACCATTGCACTCAAGCATCTGGCCTCATCCCCTCTTACTTTTGTGGGGTCTTCAGTATCCACTCCTGACATTTCTTCAGCCCTTCCTCTCCCCATGACTCAGGTACTATTTCTCTCAAGGTCTTCATTGTCCACTCTCCTGAAAAAGGAGTTTATGGTCATTGATGGCTTTGACCTTGTTCCCTTCTTATTGATTTCTTCCCCACCGCTGCATTGTCCTTGTTCTCACAAAGGGAGCAATGACATTCCCCTTGCTAAATATAAAGAGAACATTTGCCTTATTTGCCTCGATCCTTTTTTTGTGTGTCCTGCCTGCTATTTCCAAGTTTGATTTTATTGTGCACTTTTCTTCAGAAATTTCATTTTTCATTTGACTTCTGTGACATTCCTAACCTGGGTTTTCTACTTCCCTACTTCTTTTGGTCTTTTCAAGTTCTTCCTTGGCCTAAATTCAAAATACTGACATTTCATAGGTGAGCCCACTATTTAATCTTTTAAATTTAATCTCTTCATCTCCTCAACTTGGGAAATATAACCTTATGGCTTCAGATACCAATTGCATGCTGTTGATTTCCAAACCCAGCTCTCTGTCTCCAGGTCTTTGGTAATGATTTCCAAGCCTGCTAGAGATCTTGACTAGGGAGCCACACACTTAAGCTCAATGTATTTAAAACTGAATTTATTACTATATCAGTCAGGCTCTAGTCAAGGAAATAAACCAGTTGAGGTATTTCAAACAGGGAGTTTAACACTGAGAACTGGTCACACAGGTAATAAAGGAGACAAGAAGCTGAAGTGGGGATGACAAGATCACTCAGATTAACAAAAGCAGGAAGTCACTATCACCCCTAGGGCAAGGGGGATAACAGGAAGGGGTTGACTGTCCTGAATCCAGAAGGTAAGGCCACCCAGCTGGAGCTAGAACTGTAGCTGAGGCTAGAGCTGTGACCAAAGAGGAAGCTGGAACCAAAGACAGAATGCTTATCTGGTGGGAGCTAAAATCTTGGAACAGATCTGGTCACCCTGAGAAATGTTGCCTGGCTTCTCCCTACCTTCCAACCTCTAGTCTTCTACCACACCTGCCATTAACCAAACCTGACTGGAAACCAGGGAGTCTGAGTAATGTAGTTCCCTCTGTAGGGAAGGACATAGACCCAGGAGCAAGCAAGCAAATAATCAACATAATCACTGACATCTTCCCACAAAACAATTCCTCTTTCTGCCTTCCCCATTTAATAATAAAATCTTACGTAGTTGGTTACATGAACACTCTTGTAATTATCATTTACTCCCATTGCTCCCTACATCTAATCAGTTCCTAGATTCTAGTCAGTCTACCTCAGAAGTATATCCTGAATTTCTCCCCACCTCTTCATTTTCTTGGTTCTGTCTCTCTTCTAAACTGCTTCATTATCCCAAATATTCTTGCCCAAAACTTCACTCCAATAATTATTTATATTTCTACCACTTCTTTTTCCTGTTGATATATTGGTAGTGCTCTCCATTATTTAAATAACTTCCTGTTTCTTATAGAATAAGATCTTGTAATTTTTTACATGAAACACAATACCCTTTTAACTTTCTCTTCACTCATGTAGCTTGTGAGGATCAAGAAAAGACTGAATGCACTGGGATGATCATTGTAAAATTTTCAAGGGTTCCTTTCAGATGCACTTGGATGTGCTTACCATAATGATTGATATCCATGAATCATGAAGGCAAAGATGTAACTATGACTTTGAAAGCAAGTGATAAACATAAAATCTGAGAGGTCGAACAGTCTGAAAAATGTCAAAGATTTAGACAAGTTTCCATGTTAATCTATGACGAATCATTACAACAAATGGCCATGTGCCACCTACCCTGCCCGCCCCCCCCCATTAGAAAACATTGATAACCGCTACTGAGCTAAACACAAGTCTCAGAATCCTTCCCAACAAAGGTGTCCCAAAGAAACACTACCAAAAGATTGAAGTTGACAGGGGAGGTATGGCCTTTTGGATTCCCAGGTCAACTTCATGCCCAAGATGGTGACAACTGTTTTCTCTCAGAAACACTTTGGAGTATTCCATGAACTACTTTTCAAACCTTGCCACCTAGGTACCCTTAAAGACAGAAAAGTAAAGTTGTAAGTCTGGGATTATA